TGTTACTAATACAACCAACTCATCACATTAATTTCAATCTATAATCAATAGTACGTATCTTTCATGAGAAGCTTCAAGAATTAAAGAAGGATGTTTTTGAGCGCAGAGTCCTTGGACATGTTGTTGCACACACACATGTCATTGAATTCCAGAAACAAGGTCTTCCACATGCACACATTTTGATTATACTTCATCCGGAGGATAAACCACAAACTCCTGATGATTATGATGATATTGTCTGTGCTGAGATACCTTACCCAGTAACCAACCCCAGAGCAAATGCCACAGTTATTGCCAATGTGTTCCATAGACCATGTGGAAGTATCAATCCCAATGCACCCTGCATGATTGATGATGGTACAGGGCACAAAAAATGCACCAAGGGATACCCAAGACAATTCCAGAATGAAACTCTCCAAGGAGAAGACTTTTATCCTGTATATCATTGCTGACAAGATAATTGCTACATTGAAGTAAAGATGGGAAATCGAACAGTCCTGCTGGATAATCAATGGATTGTCCCATACAACAAATTCCTCTGTGCAAAATACAATTGCCACATCAATGTGGAGATTTGTGCCAGTATCAAAGCAATCAAATATTTATTCAAGTATGTCTATAAGGGCCATGACAAAGCAACAATTGAAATTACTGGAGAACATCAGGATCATGAAACAGAAGCTAAGCCAATTGTGATTGATGAGATTCATAATTTCATTGAAGCCTGTTGGGTATCAGCCCCAGAAGCAATCTGGAGAATCCTAGGATTTAACGTGAGTGGAATAAATCCTGCTGTCACACATTTGCAGGTACATCTTCCCAATCAACAAAGAGTTATTTTCAATGAAGATGTTAATTTAGTAGTAGTTGCAACCAGTCGAATTCAACAAACATCACTCACTGAATACTTTAAAATGAACAATCAAGATCCAGATGCAAGGAACTTGCTCTATTCTGATTTTCCCATGTATTACACATGGAATAAGGCAACCAAATCATTAAAAAAACGTCAGCATGGAGGTTGCATTGGAAGAATATACATGGCTCATCCAAGTGAGGGTGAGTGATATTATCTTCGTTTACTGTTAACAAAGGTGAAAGGAGCCAGGAGTTTTGAAGAACTTAAGATTGTAGATGGTGTTACTTGTGCCACTTTTAAAGAGAGTGCTCAATGGAGGGGTTTCCTAGAAAATGACAATGAATATCAACAATGTATGACTGAAGCTAGAGAATTCCAGATGCCTA